ATTAGCAGCTTTGATATTTTGGTCAGAATAGAAAGAGATAAAGTGAGAATTGTCGTATCTCTCATTTTGACTTCTTTTCAGAATGTGAAGGTCACTTGTATAGATTGCAATTCTGACATGATCTGAGCAATGTATCAATCCCAGCAAATTCCTGACCCCTAATGTATGATCATCCTATTGTGTTAATGTTCAAAGCACGCATGGCTGGCTCGGTTTGCAAAGATCAACTATGATGAGTCAGCTCCTGGCGTGATCAACGGTCTAGACATGTAAATTGGCTGACCCGTCCTAACTTACTACGAAGAGCAAGCGCGATGAGTCAGCATCCATTGTGGTCGACGGTCGAGTATTGGTGCTATTCCAAGGATCAGTTAACAGCAGTCATCGCCAAATTCCCACAATTTAATATCTAGGAGCCTATTATATGCCAAGCGAAGTGCATCTAACTCTATTAAAATCAAACATGTATTATAGTCTAACAAAAATTTCTTGACAAAAAAAAGTTGCGATGCGATCTAATGGCAGTGTGCCTGGTGTATAAATGCTCAAGAACTGCACAGCTCAGTGAAAGTTACAAAATTTTGATTGCAAAATAAATGTGTGGCGGAATTGCATTTGAAAGCTGAGCTAGTTTACGCGTATTATACAGGGTGTCCGTAAAGTATGTATGCACTGTTTGAACGTTAATATCTCCGTTCCCAGGGGGTCTTTTGCCGAGCTTTAAGCACCATACTGTAGAGCTGGCTTCAACTTAGATCTACAGTATAGAGCGAATCAGCGATCACTCACTGTTACTGTAGGATTACGGTAGAAACTTGAAACATATGGTGTCAATGTGGAAAAAGCTTTCGTTTCAAAATTTTTCAAAAAAATGTGAAAACTTGTGTAATAGGGTTTTTATGGACCCTGAGTTCAATACTCAACTATTCACAAGATTGCGAAGCTTTCTAAACGGTGTAAACGCACTTTTTAGGAACATTGAAAAAATGGCCGCTACCTCTTACCTGGCATAACTCTTCAATGAAGCATCATAATAAGTTAGAAACTTCACAATTAGAATAAGCAATTCTAATTAGCCTAATGTAGAAGTTTTCAAGCTGTTTTGTTTCCTTTCTGAGGCAAAATATGGCCTTTCATGGCTCAAAACCCTCTTTGATGTTCCTACCGTAATCCTACAGTAATGAGAGGAGACCGGCGATTCGCTCCATACTGCGAATCTAAGTTGAAGCCAGCTCTACAGTTTGGTGCTTAAAGTTCGGCGAAAGACCCCCTGGGAACGGAGATATTAACGATCAAACAGTGCATACATACTTTACGGACACCCTGTATTATATCAAAACACTTCTATTGAATAACATTAGAGTTCCCAGCGAATTCGGCAGCTGTCTTGATCCCTAGTATGACCATCCTATAGTGTTAATGTTTAGAGTATGCATGGCTGGCTCGGTTTGCAAAGATCAACTATGATGAGTCAGCTCCTGGCGTGATCAACGGTCTAGACATGTAAATTGGCTGACCCGTCCTAGCTTACTACGAAGAGCAAGCGCGATGAGTCAGCGTCCATTGTGGTCGACGGCCGAGTATTGGTGCTATTCCAAGGATCAGTTGACAGCAGTCATCGCCAAATTCTCAAAATTTTCGCTATTATCTGGGAGAATATTATACACTACCAAGCGAAGTGCGTTCAACTCTACCAAAATCAAACATGTATATAGTCTAACAAGGATTTTTTGGCAAAAAAGTTGTGATGCGATCTAATTATATTATATTAAAAAACTTCATCTTTCATTAGATTGACATGGGGAGCAGGATCAGTTCGCTTATAAAGTCATCTGAGAGGCCGATAAACAGAAGCTCATGTATTTCTGCTAATAAAATAAGTTTTGGAACTGACCACCGTGAATCTAGTTGTGATTATTTGCGTCAATTTTCATCAAAAAGCTCTAACTTAGTCTTGAATCAGAAACAGGTTGTCCCTAAGAACGTTTTGGAACTTAATCATCAAAAATAGGTGTTTCTTTGCCACTGTCATGAAACATAACGTATCAACGGCACAGCTCGGCAAAAATCTGGCCAAATTTTGTAAACGAAATGATTTCGTAAGCAGAGGTGTGGAACTAAGAGGCTGCTGACTGTCTGTATGCCAGATCAAAAAGCTTCAGCTCCCATCAAAGTGGTAAAAATAGGGAACGTGGACATGAATGATGGTTTTTGTGACATTCAAGAAGGCAACGAACAAGTATTTGCGGAGCAAGAAAAGCGCAAGCAGTGGTTGGGCTGAAGTATTAGCACCATTGCACAATTTGCTACATACAACGGAAAAGTGCTTGATACCCCCTTCTCCTTGAGTTGCTGAGCTTTAGAAAGAACGCCAGTACTGTGTGGCTGTACAGCTGCGAATGCCACCCGGGGAGACCACGCCCCCAAAATTCTCTGCGGTCGAGCTCGCTCCTCACTTCGTGCGTGTTCTACTTCTGGCGAAACGCCGCCCACAAACCGCTTTCGATGTTATATTATATAGTGATCTTTTATAACAGTCATACGAAGGTGACTCAGAACTATGGCGGAGAAACCGCGCTGCATTTTTTTATTGCATTTTGTTTTGGACCGCGCTTTGCTTCTTGGGAGCGAACTTTTGTAGTTGTGCTAATGACTGCGTACGATATCCCGTCTACTTTTTACCAGCTAAGCTCTGCAACTTGACTTTACCACCTTTGTGTCGAATCCTGACTCATCTGAGATGTTTCTCCTTCATCAACAATAAAAAAATTCTTTCTAGATATTCCTCTGCCAATAAGCTAGTAAAGGCTTGTCCCAAACGAAGGCTGCTGCCCATGCGAGCGAAGCGTGGGGCGTACGAGTGCAATGATTGGAGCGGCTCCAATACATTCGCTTCATTTCATATGATCATGTGTGCCGTTGCACACACAGTCCACTTTGGCGTCCTCATCCTGGATTTGCAATGGCAAAAAAAGCAAGAGACTTACCGATTGTTATCGATTACATCAATTTGAGGTGACTAGTAACTAAAAAGGAAAGAAAATGCTAAGAACATTTTGGAAACACTTACCTGAGGGCTTGTTTCTCCCACGAATCCAGGATGGGGACGCCAAAGGTGAACTGTGTGTGCAATGACACACATTATCATATGAAATGAAGCAACTGTACTTCTGTCGCACTCACTTCGCAAACTATCTTACCAAATTCGCTAGGAATCAGTCTTTAATGGGAAATAAGCTTCTTTCTGTTGTGTAAGGCCTTGGGGATAGTCCACACAATTTTATCGCCTTGCGAATCTCCCAACAAGATAACTGTTACGAGTCCATTGCATGCCAATCATCTTGCATTCCAGTTGTTAGAGTTTTCCGACTACTAATTGCGAATAACTATCACAGCCGAAATGCGCGATGATCGGGACAGTTGTCTTGTCGGGAGAATCGCGCGACGATGAAATCATGCGATGTATGCCTGGTCCTTCATGGAAAGCCAGAATCAATTATGCAAGATATTCTTGCTTTTTGATCTATTACATCCATATTGAGTTATAGGGGAGACGGCCCTTCTGAACCCACCGTCCCCTACAGTAATCTAGAACTAGGACGCGCGCGCATGCGCTGCGATGACTGCGGACGAGTGCTCCGCGAAGGCTCGTATTTTCGAAAATCACCAACTCCTTTCGTGCGGCTGTTACATTATGGAATGTAAGCCAACCACGCTGATTTCAACCAAACACAGCTACCATACTCTGAATGTTTGGTATTCTGAGCCCTACTTCCCAGCAGGTATATTTATGATTTCCCTACTTCCAAGCAGGTATGTTTATAATTTATGGGACATTTCCGGTCTTTTCATTTCCATTATTATAAAGAAATTCTCATGAATCCCTTTTGAATTCTTTCGAACTTTGTTTTTTTTTGCTTTTTTCCCACTTATATCACTTGTGTGTGCGATCCTTATAACGTCGTGCATCGTCACATCATATTGCTAATGTGAGCTGCTTGATGTTATTGAGGAAAGCCCACGTAATCAAAGTTTGTGTAGCAACTCTTTATAAAGGCCAATTATAACTTAAATTTGTGATCTACGCTAATTCGTTATCAAATGCGTATTTCCTTCTGACATTTCAGTGCATTTCTGTTGCTTTCCAAGAAAACTATCACCTTAAAATTCTCATTCCTTGTAAAGTTTACGAACGTGCATTTGAAATTTTTACGCTTCAAAAAGCATGATGCGTGCAGCAAAGAAAAGGTCGCTACCAAAGTCAATCCATGTAGATCACGCTACCAAATGAAGGTGATCAATTTTTATTTGATTGCGTTTTTGATATGGACGGTGTAAGAAAAACCTCACAAGAAAACTAAAAACTCATCATAAAAAAACGTATGCTTCCCTACTGGCATGCATGTAGTGCACATTTCAATTGAATGTGACTGAATGATGCTGCAAGGAGGCAAACGTAGGAGAGTAGAGTATGCAATCAAACTCACAAAGACCTAGGAGAGTAGAGCAAGCAATCGAACTAAAAAAAACCAGTAAAATAAGTCGAAAAAGACTTGAAAATGTCTTATAGGTCAAAAACATACCACCTTAGAAAGTAGCCGGCGATTTAGTAATGTAGAGTAGAGCGAATAACTTAAGTTATTGAATTCTAGGGAATTTGGGGGAATTAGGAATTTTCTAGACAATTACTTCCAGAATCTCATTGTGGAGTAGGTTATCAGCGATGTGAAACTCGTCCGCTTCCGCAGCGCGTCTGCCTAGGTCAGCTGCTCGCTCCCGCGAGCGAGCCAATCATGGAGTGACCTCTAATTAGCGCTGATCTCTTATAGCCGTCGCGATTAGGGCAGGTTCAGAAGGGCCTACACCCAGTTATAGTGCTTTGATGGCCTAACGCTTTGGACCTGACTCCGTGACGTGGAACAACCAACAAAAACAAATTACTTTTTTTTATTTAAGAATCACGAAATTCTTCACCAAGAAAGAATGTTCATATTCTTAGGATCTGGAATTAGCATTGTGAATTGCGCCTATTTACCAAGTATTCTTAAATTAGTAATTCAACGTGTGCACTTGGACTTATGAAAAATAGCGCAAGAAATCCATGGAATCCGAATGTTCACATTTCTTCTTACAATCATACATAGTTTTATACGTATTCGGAAGCCTCCCTCTACGGATCTGCACGCATTTTTGTTGGAAACAGTAAAAGGCACCCCTGAAACAAAAGAGACTCGTGAATTAGCACTGTGCGGCACATTTTGATTACACATAAGCGAGGTTCCTCTTCCTCGTGAGAACACGTACTGGCTCACGTCCAGCATCGCACATTAAAAAGCCACACATAAGGAGGAGAAAGAGGATTAGTGAAAGATTCATCTTCTTGCTTATACTGATTATATATCCTGAAAATGGAAAGTTTATTCAATTGAAAGCTTGATGTTTTCTGAGAAAGAGTGGACCAGACTCAGTGATTTCGTACCAGTTGTGGCAAGGCAGTCGTGTGATGTGAGATTCGGATGCAAATTAAGCTAAGCATTGCATGGATCTTTGTCTTTTGCTCAGTAAGGGCAACATATAGTCTGCTGCATGACGAAGGCGCAATATCTTCTGGCGCGAACGCGGCTTTATTAGCCGTAGAGCGCGTGAGGTGTGGGATCTACAACTTTGAGGATACGCGCGCGTCGCATTCGCGCCCGCTTAACTAATATCGCCATTGCGCCTTCGTCATGCAGCAGCCTTTACATTAGCATCCAGCCAGGGAGGAGATCGCAGCTTAAAAGATCGCCCTTTGAACACTATCCCATTATCTGGATCTTGATATCGAAACCAGAAATTTTGCTCAAGCTTGGTTTAGGTGGTTATTCGGCATGTTTATTACAAATAGCATGATCTCTTGACTTTTTGGAAAACACTTGAATACTGGGATAGTGCGCAAGAGCGGCTACAGACGGATAGCGGTCCAGCGCGGTATGAACATCCTTAGATGATCAGTACAGCTTAGAAGTGCTTTCGTTAACTTAACGACTTTGAAAAAAAAGACGGTTGGACGCCAAGAATATCAGAGGGTCATACAAAAAGGTGGAATATGCGACTTGTACAGCTTTTCGCTCCTGTTCGATATGTTTACAGTGAAGGATACTAGGAATAGCTACGGATAGGTAACAGCGTGAAATCCAGATATTTCAAGATTCGTTTCAAGATTCAGGATAAACATTATTCTGAACTGGCGATCCCCTCCTCGGCGGCGATGAACGTGCAGACGGGTCTAAGGAAGCGAATTGAAAAACTGAGGGAAAGCGGAGAGCAAATTTTCGATGAACGGTGTGGAAAGAATCGCATTATAAAAATATTTGAACTATGACAGAACTACGACGGGTAATTACATAGCATTGTTGGAATAGCTGCTTGAAAGTGACCCCATGAGTTTTATAAGTTTCTCTGCGATTGATTATTCAAAGCTGACCAAATAGAAGCCAGGTAATATCACTTTATACTAGAACGATATACGCAGTGAACGCAATGAACGACTAATAGTTTGTACTAAAACGATGTACGTAGGTTAGTTCAAGATCACATCTCTTCATCAAAAATAGATTTTTCTCTTTACACAGTCCAGGTAGCGCGTGCGCTAAGTACATGTTATATTCGGCGACGTGACATCATACGAAGTCGCGGCGTTGTATCTCATTTTTACAAACTAGGTGAAAAAACTATACAGCATTTAAAAAATTGTGACATTACGCGACCGCGGGCTACACGCACGCCACTTCCGGAAACCGCTTTTGTTTGGTTTTCGTCCCTAGTCAATTGCTTACGTTTGATATTTAGACACTGGAAGTGACTGAGCTGAGCGTTGTGGTGATGTCTTCTTGTATGAGCGTCTATGCTCCCATGGGCGCGAAGTCCGCAGTCAAATCCGACATCACGATTTCATAAAGGACCTATAAAACCCTTAGTTTTGAGATTGAGGCATTTGGAACCCAACCATATCACTCTAGAGCAGGGTCATGACTCTGTTTGGGCTGATTCTCTTTACAGACATTGGGAATTTTTTATCTTTGTTGTTTTTTTTTCTGCCACTAATTTTTACAAGGGAAAGTGAGCTTCTCACTGTGGTGTAGAGGTACGTAAGAACCCTTCGCAGATAAAGAGACGTGACTCCAGTGTCTTCCCATTTATTGTGCTTCCAGAGCCAGCGCCGTGCATTTCCGTTCCAACCTCATGTAATACCCTTGGTATGGTCGATCGTAGTTCCGGCACGGCGTTGGCACTGCGCCGGCACGGGCACTTGTGGGCGTTGCCTTATTGCTATAACTAAGCGACTGTGCAGAATGAACAGATGATTTCTCAAAAATTTATCCATGTAAAAAAAGATTCTCCCAACGCTGTTCTCTTCCTATGCGCCGAACAAGATCTGGATTTTTGGCGTAAGAAGTCCATTAAAAAATTTCCAGAAATGTTACGTACGGTGTCCTTTTTGAAATGCTCAAGCACTGAATACGGCATGAGCATATACAGTGAGCGAAATCATCGTAAGCGAAGCGCAAGGAAGTCAACATACGTTGTTTACCCATAAATTTCAATATCCTCGTTTGTATATTCGCCACTGCCATCTATTATTTATGTAATCCATGCATTGTCAACATCGGTATCAGCTTTTGGTTTGGGGAAAGGGATGGTGGAGAGCGAGGGGAAAAGCAAAATTGACACTATAGCACTCGAATCTGGGAAAAGTAAAGTTTACAAAGGTGATAGTTTCTCACGACGTTGAAACTGCCAAGAAGGTAGACCATCGGCTTTTTGTTAGTATTCTTCAAAAAAGTTGATTTTAGAAGTTTCTTGCGACCATGATTTCAATTGTACAATATCACTATTCAACACCACTTCTTAAGTGTTGGCTTAATCCCTGTAAGAGTAAAGAAGAAAAAGGATAGATCTTTTGCTTCTTCAATTCGAATTTTGCTAATTACTAATTTGTACCAAATTGTTGCTCTTCTAATTTCAGGAACTACAACATCTAGGATGCTTTCTTATTTGTCAGTGTAAGAAGCAAGCGCAAAATCCTCCACTTCCTCTTTCGCTTTTTTATGATAAGATCTTGCTACCATCGACCTATCGCAACTTTGCTCTTTGCTCTTATCGGGCACCGAATGAAATAAGACGATTTCTTTATCATCTTCTGACAACTGTATGAATCATGCATCATCTTTGTTGTGGGAAGCAAGGGCATCATGCAGGGGATCCTATTTCAACCTAACTTTGAAGTGAAGTTGAACTAGTATTTTATTTATAGAAGAAATGTTACGCAAGACCCAAGCAAGTTCCCAAGTAGTAATGACAAACCGAGCTTTGTGTGTGTTGTATTTCGAATTCGACTCACAGTTCCATAAATGAACATATCTATTGCATGATATGATCTATGCTTTTGATGGTATAGTATGTCAATCACGTTATCCTTTTTCTGTAAACGCAATCGCCACGTCAGAGCATTCAAACTGGCCTCATCGACAAAGTACGCACGCAAAGCTCTCGCTTGCGCATGCGTGCTTTCTACGCGAAAGAGAATATGAAATTGACACAGACCGTACATTTCGTTGAGAATGCATCCCTCGTCCAGTCCAGAGTATGGCCAATTTAGATTACAATCATTTTGGTACTTTTTCTTCGAAATTTATAGATTTTTGTTGGCGCTTGAAATCAGTGCGAATGGTAAATTCTAAGTTCACAGAAATAATACAGCAATTCTAGCTTTTGAGCTGAAACTCAGATTTTTCCTACTAGCCTACAAGTTACAAGTTTACGGCCATACTCTCATGTCAGAGTTTTGCAGTACACAAATACTTACGTGAGTGAATTTCAAGTGCAATGTTTGCAATTCTCGTTTGTTTTCTCAATGTGTAATCATGAAAAATGCGGAGTGGTATGCAGAATTCGTAATCTAATACTATACGCGCGAAGTAAATGATTCGCAAGACTTGTCTCAACCGATAAAATCGGACCTATGAGGTGCTAAAATTGCAGATTTTGCCATCAAATTCCCGTGGACTATGATCTACGTAAGTGCCTGATGTTCATCTCGTAGAGCTTGCTTACTTTGTAAAATAGTACTTCTTAGAATTTTTGTAGTGTTCACCTGCCGTGAATTGCTATATTATCAGTTACTATCAAAAATATCAGTATTAGTGTGATATTAGTATTATAAATCGTACTAATCCTTCACCACATTTTCTGATCTCAGCTCATCTAGCGCGTTGTTACATTTTATTGGGGGCACAGTGCATGCAAGTGTAAAAACCGCCTCTGCTGCAGGACTCGACACAGTGGCTTGTAAGCAAGCTGGATATCGTTTTTGGTACAAAAAGCAAAAGTGTTTTTGTTTTTGTGGCCGAAAAGACCCAAAATTTGCGACGTTTTTTGATCGACGTTTCTTTTTTTTTGAAGATTTTTTTAGGATAATGGTTTAGGGTCAAAGGGGACTTTGTAAGATTTTGGAAAAGTCTAGGGGGACTTCGTTTATTGCATTTTCCAAAAGCCACCTCGTGCCGAGCCCTGCTCTGCTGTCATGGTTGCCGGTAGCGAAAACATAAATCACAGTTTCCCAGTTGACCAGTAGATATTATAAACCATCATCTTGCAATCCAAAGGCCTTTGATTATAAAAAACAAATCACAACTGGGCGAAAAAAACGTTACTGTTGGACACAACGAAACCCAATAAAGTCATTACGAAGCTTTTTTGCGCGATCGAAAGGGGTACATATGAATACCCTTTGCAACTTCGCGAAAAGTTCTCTTTCAAGCGTCGTAATTGTAATGAGCAAAATTATGAACAAACTTTGAATTTTGACCATCTCCGTACCGTCTGACTTCAAAGTTGCGCTACCATCAAAATAGATATAGCATGCCGAAGAAGAGCATCGCAAGCGTTAGCAAATTCCCTTTTGAGTTCTCAGGTCCAGGAAAAAATTAATCCGCCTTATATGCTTTTCCCCGCAAAGCATGGCGGACGCTGAATACTGTAGCCAACTCATGCATAAACTGAGATTAAGAGTAAAGGTTACTTAGAAATTTCTACGTGAAGGGCAACACCGAAACTCTCAGTGGAAAACGGCTTTTCTTTTGCCCACCACTACCTCAGACAACAATCGCAGACTGTTTTTTTCGTTAATACACTATGATCTCAGCTCATTGAGTGCTCGTTACACATTTTGATCTTTGCAAGGCACCATAGTGCAGACGAACTTCGTTCTCGACATCACGTGCGGACATTTCTGCGTTTTTTCTCAACTCAGTCTGAGTTTACAACAGCGCTATCGACTCGGTGTCCTATCTCTGTGCCTAGGCAATTTCTCCTATCGCGTGCCGTGAATGCTATTCTCATGGCTTTGCTGATTTTTTCTTTCCAAGAAAAGCAATTGATAGTCCTTTATTACGCAATCTCTTTATTTTTATTACTCGCATTTTTGTGATTGAAAAATGTCTGGTTTTAGAGCAAAATGGAATACTGGGCATCTATTCTGTTAGCTTTTCTGGCTTTATTCGTTATTCTCTACAATATCTCGCAACAATTTCATTACTACACTAGAATTACCTTATTTTATCTCTGCATATTTCTCCATGGAATAGAATGTTGTGTCACTATGATTCCATCTTATCTTACTGGTAAAGTGAGTTTCTTTACTTTTTTCTTTCTTCTCTGTCTTCTAATATGAGGTGACTTCACACACCATCACATGGCGCGCTGGCACCAAAGTTCATTGATGACCTTTGATTACTTGCCGAGTCAAAATTTCGAGGCTTTTTACAGTGAAGAAAAATGACTTTGCTGGAACACGGCCAACAATTATTTTTTCGAACTTGCTAATAAAAGGTGTGATGTAGTTTATGCGAAAAAAAGGTATTAGAAGCCAATCAGGAAATGAAGCATCAGCTCTCTCATTTTATATATACATTTAGAAGTTTCAATCTTTGAAAAAGGAAAATGCCACAAGGCTTCAGAACTTATCTGATCTAGAATGATTTTTGCGTAAAGTCTACTATAACGAAGTCGATGTAAAAATATATGCTTTTGTCGTAAATTGGTCCGTTTCGATATAGACCCCAGTTCCTCTTGAACGGGTAGAATTTAGTAACACAACTTTGCGCAAGCTTTTTCATTTATTTCCTAGCATAACCATTGATTCAACTGGCTATGCGGCTGGTAGGCGGGGCTTTGTGACCTAATTAAGGCCGCTCGCGCCCCCAATGCAGTCTGCGTCTCTCCCGCGTGCGTGCTTTCTGATCATTGCATAGCCTTAATTAAGTCACGAAGTCTCGCCTTCCAGCCGCCAAGCCAGTTGAATAAAGGGTATGCTCTGCTCTGACTGCAGAGCCATATTTCATTGCATTTTCATTTTTTTATCATTTTTCATATTTATTGAGATATCAAATTGATATTGTTCATATAAGTTTTATTGCTTTTCGGGAGCTCAGCTAGCATCAAGCTTTTCCAAAAGCAGAAACGACGCGAGGTTGGACTCATTACTATATACGAATTCATTCTAAATTTGAAATTAATAGAGATTAGTACATGTATTGTCGTTTAGCTGATACTGAGACCATCTCACTCTCTTCGTGAAAAAATCAAAAATCAAACTAACCTCAATTATGTCGTTTTTCCTTTCTGTTTTTTAGAATAATCTCAAACTTGAAGAAATACAAAACCTTAAAAAAATAAAAATTGTACTTGAGTTTTATCTAAATTATGCCTTTAAAAATGCAAACCTTTTGAGACCATAGATCCCCATTTGATTTTGATCGTTCTTTGACAATAATTTTGTTTTTAATAGAGGCGCTGACGTAAACACACAAGTAGAATAAATTGTCTTTAATCATCGACCAACGTCCATTGGAAGATAGAATAATTCTTTCATCGAAATAAGCAAACAATATTCTTACGTGTAGCATGTTTCCATCTTTACTTCGTCACAAGCTCAAAATATTTCATTTTCTCTGCTATAATGTAGAACGAACTTTTCTTTTTCCTTTTTTTACAAATGTTAAGTAGTGAAGCCATACAGAAAAGGGCGGTCGAATCAATATAAGCCGATAAAGTACAGAAAAAAATTAGATGTCAGCTTTATGCAGCATTTCATGGCATGAAATCTGCAGGGATTTGCAGAAAAACTGCTATCAAATTCAAAAGATTGAGAAGTTGTTTGTTGGTCGTCTGAGGAAGCACATCTGGTCAGCCATGAAGTTGCAGGCGGACATTTGGGGGGATAAATTGCAATTTTAAGTGCTTCAAGAGTAAAAAGAGAGGATGGGAGTACTAATTCAACAAGGCTTTTATTGAAATAAATCTGAATAGACTTATCTCAAGCCTGGAGCTTTTTTTATAAGATATTATTTCAACTCATTTCCTGGTAGAGATTAGTCGGTGTAATTCACAATCTCACCATTTTTTGAAATATAAGATATAAGCACAGCTCCACTCTTGTCGCATCGCCCGTTTTTTTTTTTGAAACAAACAACTTCATGGAGCTAGATAATTTTTTGTTTGTAGACACTTCATGTCTCATAGTCTTGTCCTATGTGCTAGACTAGAGTGGAGCCTACGGGTCATTCGTAAAGAAAGCACTGAAGCAAAGAACAATCGTGTTCCAGCTGGCGCGTAAAAAATGTTGAAGCTTTTCTTGAGATTCTGATACCCGTGTTTTACTTTTACCAATTTGTTGTGTCACCAGTATTGAAGAAAATGAAAGAAATCAATCTTGTAAGTAATTGTTGGGGAGATTATAAGAGAATCGATAAAGAAAATAGACGTCTAAAAAGACTCCTTTATATTGTTGGATAAGATGCAGAGCCTGTTGTTCTGTTTGTAAAAGGAAGAATTGTATTCAGTACAAGAGAAAGAAAAACTAAGAGCTAATAGGAAGCGCTGGAGGAATTAATTATAATAAACATATAGAGCGCTTTTTTATGATATAGAAAGAATATCAAAAATTTCTAGGGATTGAAACTCAACATTTGTCGGAACAGAAGCCTCCATTCACAGATTACCATAGCAAAATAACAGGGTCCCTATGGTACATACTATGCTATCTCAACTATGCGCTACTTTTGAGAACAATTACCTTTTTCATTTCAACTGGCACTCTCACCCTACTTAGACATTTTTGAAAATAGCAACATTTTTGGCTAGCGCACAGGGGGCTCATGGAACTCATTATCGTATCATAGAAAACTTTCTTTTGTCTTTGATTAATATCACCAATCGATATATTGATCTTCTTGCTTTATAGGGTGCTGATCTGATTTTCCATGAATTCAAATATTGGTGTTTATGGACGGGAATCACAACAGATGTACGCGGGTATAAAGAGCATCTCGCAAATCTTAAAGGACCAGCTGTCGTTATATGTAATCACCAGGTAAGTCGTCAATAAATAATTTGTGTTGAAATTGCTGAAAAGTATATTCAGAGTGCTATAGATGTATCTGCTATGTCACGGGTTTGGCCACCAAAATGTACGGTTATGATGAAAAGATCTCTAATGTATATACCATTTTTCAACATTACTAGTTTTTTGGTAAGCTATAGAGTTTCGTTCGGAATAAACAAGGAAAGGAAAATTCTATTTTTAGGCTAATGCAATATTCATTGACCGCTTTCATCATGATAAAGCAATGTCACAAATTGATCGTACAGTAAAAAAGATGAAAGAGAAGGATCTTAAAGTAAGTTATTCGAAAATTCCCTCCTTAACAACCTCTCAAGTGGGAAACTTTCAGGTTTGGATTTTTCCCGAAGGCACCAGAAATCACGGCGAAGGAATGTTATCATTCAAAAAAGGAGCATTCAACATTGCCGTCACGGTTAGTGACACCGTTTTTTTTTGGTCCGAACTCCAACTCGACCCATTACAGGGTGGTTTTCCTATAGTACCGATCGTGTTGTCCAGATATAAGCCATTCTATTCGAAAACACAAAAATATTTCAAGTCAGATGGAGAAGTTATAGCAAAGGTGCTGGAGCCTATAAGTACGAAAGGGGTGAGTGCTTTCTCTTCAAACATGTCTTGTCAGAGGGATAGAGTCTCTTCAATGGTAATCTAGGTGAGGTGGGGGCGATAAAGGGGGGGGGGAGGGAGGAAAATTCGAACATTGCGTATTGGAGAAGATGAATTTTGAAGCGAATCTTCCCAAATTTTCGGCACGCTTTCAAGCTTGAATCTTCAGAAGAGGAGGGCTTGACGCAGCATCAACAGATCTCACTTGCGTAATCCCCGTTTTCGTTCTCTTCCCCCTACCCTACCCTTACAAAATTCTACGGATCTCAAAATTTTCCAGGATGTTTTTTTCAATATTCCCGATTTTCAGATGACAATAGAGGATGTGCCAGAGCTTGCTGAAAAAGTACGAAATCAAATGTTACAAGTCCACAAAGATATTAGTGAAGAAGCTGCCGAAAAGATGAAGAAGAAGCGTCAGCAGGCCATGTAAACTAGTTTTTAAGGCAGCATGTACAGTCAGACTCATGATGAATTCACGTAAACATGAGCTTTCATGTGATATTTTCAAACGAGTAAATTACAGTTTTGCACCGGTGTATCTATAAATATTTTTTTTTGTATAGAAGTTAACAAAACTCAACAAGCTGTATGAGAGAACAACAAGTATGAGAATCACAGTTGAGAGCGAGCAAGCACCGGAAAATGTTGATATGGCTCTAAACGGCAGTTTCTTCTTCAGTTTCTTCTTTCACCGTATCAAGATCCTCGTAGTTTTCCACCTGAGGGCAAAATCATAATTATTCGTAATCAAGAGGGCTAGGAGGCGTACAAAATCACCTTCATGTCATTCAATCCCAACTCCTCGTTTTGTTCCCACGTCCTTTCGTAAAATTCTTTCTTCAATGAAGGATCTTCCAGTGGTGCACTCAAACTCTGCAAGGTTCAGTTTTTGCATTTTTGTATCAAATCCAATAGCCTGTCACTTGACAGAGATATTTGGGCCGTATATAGATATTGAAGGTCTAAAAACTCATCATTATGCGTGTAGAACCTACCTGGATATAACTATTACCAGCCGGATCATCTAGTACCAACGTAACAACTTTTTTCAATGAAAGTATCTGCAATTTGTACGTTCATAGGCCTTACATAAAGAAATATATGAACCTCACATCATCGAACTGATCCAGAAACTTTGCTATTTGGGTCCGCTCAGTATTTTGTGCACTATCACCCATGAAGAACGAGGATTGCTGGAAAACGATCATTGAAAAGAAGGAACTTACAAGGGAAGGATACTAACTTAGATTCACCTTTTCAGATGAGACACATCTATATTTGGAATCAGCTTGGAACGCTGATTCCAAATTTGCTGTTCCTAGCTGCTTAACATTATTCTGAAGCGAATTATAGTCTCTTTTCTACGCAGAGATTGCGTGCTCCTCGACCTACTAATGCTAAAGCGTCGACGTCTAGGTGGTTTTGCAATTGTATCTTTCAAGACCAAAAGAATTAGTTCGATGCTAGTCCAACATCCTAGCACTTTTTTCGAGCACATTCTTATCTACACACCGTCTTACGACGTTCAAAAGTTTGTTAGTTTCTCACAACAGCAAGCCCATAACTCGCTTCGGAATAATGCTGCAGCTAAGAACAGCTTTTTTGGAATCAGCGTTCAAAGCTGATTCCAAATACATGTGTCCCATCTGAGGCGAATCTGAGTTAGTATCCTTCCCTTGTTAGTAGAAATCTCCGAGATTAGTGAACTAAATAGAAAGCTGGAAAACAAGATTAACTGCAAGAAACTCGGGAGAGAATCACTGGAAAAACTCTAAGGAAAAAATCATTCTAAAGACTCCAAGATTAGTAAAAACTACAAAGTTGAGCTATAGAGATGGAGGGAAGAGCATAACAATTCTAGAATATTAGGACATACCGCAGACAACTGATCTCTAGTGGCAGTCAATAATCCTTCTACAGTGGTGAAGCGACCGCATAAGGCGCCAGGTCCAACCTAATAAATAAAGCTTTGGAGGAATGATTGCAAAAGAAAATACTGTGAGCATAAAAAATAACAAAGAGACGCTAACCTCTAGATCGAGCTCGGGGATGCGCATAGAACAGGTGTCAGACTTCAGCACATCACGAGCTAAGTCAGCATCCTTAAGGCACACACTTTATTTGATTCAGTGAGTTACAAACAAATCTAACAACCTCTTTAATGGTGATAGAAAGGCGACAACCATGATCTTTGATAGAGCCACCACTTTTCACTTCATTCGATTTATGTCCGCACTTATCACACGTCAAAGCCATTATGATTACTGTTTGAAAGTAAGGTATATCTAAAAAAACGATGTTACACTTGAAAAGCAACTTCTTTAAAAGTTTCTTAGGTATATCGTGGTGCCACAGTATGGTACGTCTCCATCAAAATTGAAGTTCGACCTAATAGAACGAACCTGTCGGCTTCATGAGTACCTCTGCAGGTGCTCCACAATTAGGACAATCAGTGGGGAAATGAAGAACTTCTCTTTTAGCATCATCATAAGATTTCCACTCGGGCGCTGGCTCAGCTTCTTCCCTGAAAACAAAAAAAAAACTCAAAAAAAAACGAAATCGCATGAACGCTGCCCTCAGAAACATTTAGTTGCACTACTTTTAAGGTCGACACCTGCTTTTCAAAAGCATGAGGAAACTTATAAAAAAAGCTAAAAATCAAGCGAAGACAAAAATTCACAACCTACACATCATCTTCAGCCAATCCAAGAAGCTTCCTTTCTTCTAAACTTCTGTGGTAATGAGATACAATACATCGAGGGTCAACATGACGAGGATCGGGATTTTGAATGAAACAGTTTCCAGTAGGATCATGGAGCTTCTGAAAAAAAAAACCTGGTTGCGTATGAAATTTGATTAAATCGGCATTTTTACCAATGTCCACTTCTCAGAGAGAGACTTGCATTTGAGGAGCTTCTCTAGAAATTTGTCTATTTTGGCAGCACTTTCCGGATCGACTTGCCTTCGTCTATCTTGTTCCTGCGAGAGACCACCAAGCACTCTTTCCAATACACCTTCTACGGTGGTGACTTCTAAAAAATTACCAGATAATAGAAGGAGACAAATTTATATCTACCACAGTACACTGGAACTCTGAAACTATCTGGCAGTACCTCCAGGCTGAGTCTTAGCAGGAATCACCAGTTCAAGCTCAGGCACTTCTATAGAGGCAAACTCCGACTTTACCATCTGACGGCGAAGATCAACCTGCTCAAGTACCCGCAATACGATTTCAGTTCCATGTTCCTGGTGATGACGTGATGGTAAGAAGACAATGATCCGCGACCACTTAACTACCTGCACAGCTTCTCCACTCTGTATCTCATTATTTTTGAAGCCGCAATGTGGGCATTCGAAAGACATGAGAATGACTGTCTTGTAATACGGTATCGAGGTGCATAGAAGGCGAGTTGTACCCTAACAGCATAGTGATTCGATGGTGTAAAAAGCAAGAACAAGACTAAACAATAAGTAGGTACCTACATTCTTCTCGCAGTTCATGCAAAGAGATTCAATCTCGACAGGTGCTGATTCAGGGGTTTCGCCGATAAGCTCATTTGTAATCTACAATGGTACTGGTGAGTGAAAGTTGTGTCACAAGTATCCACATCAAAAGAATATAATAAGTTACATAAAACAACTCTTGGTAACCGCATAGGGGCGAGGCAAAACTTAGAGCTCAAAAGACCACATCATAATCCTACCAGAAATTGAGTTATACTCAACTGTGAGCTCATTTTTTACGCCTTAGCGATTATAGAGTGCCCACTCCATACCTTGGAGACATTGAAAAATTTATTAATTGCACGCAAGGTTTGAAAAAGAGTACCACTGAGTAGCGGAAGAGAAATATCAATGGTATATATGCTGCCAAATCGTACACCTCAATAAATCTCAAGCAGTCTTCAAACTTACTTCTTCAGCATTAGCCGCCATATTGCATCAGCTTTTAGTATAAGTAGCGAGAGGGATGGTTCAAACTAATTCTGCAACGATGACTTTATTATTACAAATTGCACTACGACTATGCTTACGTTTCAGTAACAACAAATACTAGAAAGCGATTACAGAAAGCCACACATTCCCTTAGCGATTATAGAATGACAAAAAGACGACAGAATTGTCCATAGCAGCACTTATTGTACTGCAAACTATAGAATACTGGTGAAAATGATACATACAGGGCTTATCAGTTGCAGTGTCGAGTGCACCAGCATCTTTGCTCCCGCGCGGGACTCTGCACTTCTTCCGCGAACATGCTCCCTAATCATTTTTAATCGATTGAGGCTCCGCCTTTCCCACGCTTTGAGTGCGAAAGTGATCAGAGAGCATGTTCGCGAAAGAGGCGCAGAGTCCACGGAGCGGAAGCGAGAGGCGGTGCACCCCACACCGCAGTTGATAAGCTCTGCATATTGTCAGACTCTAACAAACAAAGTAAGAAGATGTTGGTAGGAAAACAAATACCTTCAATCATTGTAACAAGCGTCAATACGAAGTGCGTATATCACAAACAGGTCAAAGCGATACTTACAATGTCCAATAGTTTATTTTTCAAAAATGAATGCACACACCACGGACAGGAAAGGTAACAAAAATATATTAGATAGGATAGGATCAAAATTTGAAGTCTTTATACTTTTTGCTTTGGTGGGGCGTTTTCTTCTGCTCTTGTGCTTTTCTCTTGCGCTAAAACAAGAACATATTGAATGAAAAATCAGGAAGTTTTTGGATGACAGCATCGTTAAGATAACAGTAGCAAAGCTCACATTCTGGCCAGCAGCGTGTTCTGCGACCATGTCTGACAAATCCTCTCGGTCTTCTATAGCTCTTGTCTGTAAGAATTTTGCACTTAAAAACATGGAGAAAACAAGAACAGGATGTAACGAGTGGCAAAGTACAAAAAAAAACCAGTGCATTCAATACGCGACCTACAAAATTTCTCCGCCTGGGAAAACATTCAACAGAAAATGGGATAAATATATCAATGAAAAATTGGATAAGTATACCTGTTTCCGAAGTTGTTCCTCATACTTCTCATGCAGCTTCCCTTGGTCAAGATCAATAGCATCAGGATCCAAAGAGATTTCTATGCCATCATTTACAGCCACTTTCTTCTGGAAAAATATAAGACCGATGGGAGCATCAAGGAGAGAAAAGATGAGAAACGTACGGATAGATCATAAACATGGGTGGACGCCATCATCTGTCCTCCAATTCTATCCACTCGTTTTTCAGGAAGGATGTGATATGCAGCTGCTGGCGTGTCTGCACCGGCCAAGCTGAAAGCAAGTGATGTTATCCAAAGTCCATGAAATATTGCCGACTATCTCCTACCTCTCTTCAACTCTTCTTCCTTTTCGCAGCTCAATGGTGTCAGGAGTCTCCAGTCCGGTGACTCCAGTGGTGATACCACTAGGAGTTGCCATTCCTTCCGTCATAGGTGTGGCAATGCCATCAGCAGTAGCAGTGACACCATTGGTAACCGTTTCTTCTTCTTCTTCAGGTTCACTTTCCTCATCGGAGTCTTCGTCAGATCCGATTTCACCCCAGTACCGGCGTTCAATTCGAGTTTCGTCCTCAGGCTCGACTTGGCTGGCAGGCTAGAAGAAAGTCAATTTTAAGGAAAAAACTTCATATTTAGCGAGGATTCCTACATCAGTTTATAAGAAATCATATGATAATTGGGGATACATCCACAAACCTCTTGTCCGAACACATCACCATACAGCGGCTTTCCATAGTCATCGACAGGAGGTTTGCCCCATCCTCCAGCATGATATCCGAATGCACATCCTTCAGGTATAGGGGCATTCAAACCAGCGATTCGCAGATTGGGATAGCTCGGCGGTGGACCATATCTCTGCATGGCAATAAGCCAAGGAGGTGGAAACTTGTGCGCATTCTGGAAAGCATACGAAATCACTCGAGCAAAGTCTAAAAATCAAATCATCCAACAACAGATAGAAATCTTGCAAGCATTGAAGAGTTCAATAAGTCAGAAACTGAAAGGAATGAGATAATAAAAATGATAATAATTGAATGATAATAATTGATAAATGATAAATGATAATAATTGAAGTACAACTCACTGGTCCTACTGGCATTCCGAGCGCGATTCTCAAATCATCCGAAAGATTTCCTGGCTTCTTGTCTTTCATGAGAGTTTCTACCTCCTGCAACAGAGAGATTTTCTTACAGGAAAGTGAGTTTGCTTGAGCACATACCTTTCCCTCATAGTACAGTTCTCCCATCGAAGTCATGGGAGGTTTTGTCTGCCATTTGAAGAAAGCATCGTGTAATTTTTGGTAATCGATGTCAATTTTACCAAGCTTGGGACGTGCACGCTCACGCATTTTGGATTTCAAATTTTGGCTCTCTTCCTAAAGCTCTACAGATGAAAAAAAGCAAACAAAAAAATCTTTGGAAAGTCGCAACCTTTTCCCACAACGCCTCGCGCATGTCTTGGATTCCTGTTCGTTTGATGAAATCTGGCAACTCGAAAGGGGGTCGCTCAAAACCACGCTTTCCGGATAGGTATCTGGAACAACAGCGACGTGATAGAACTACAAAGGGATTATTCCTTGGATCTCTTACTTTCGCTTGGCATTCCAGTGACGTGGTACTGGCACTGTGTTACGATATGACTTGAGAGCCACAAGCATGAACGGATCCCTTGATGTGACGTCGGCCCATTCAACGACATCTGGTCGGCGTGTAGACTAAAACTTTTCATTTGGCTACTTTCTTTTCAAAAGCTAAACGGGAAGTTGGTATAAAAATCCAAGCGCATCGACTTTTGATGGAGAACTAAAACAACGCTGATGGCCAATGAAGCAGCATGTGTATCACAAAAAAGGCAGATAAAAAGATTGTTAAAAAAAAGCAAGCAAACTGAACAGAGGTAGCTACAAACACTCAATGTCGATAACTATAGGTACAAAGTCAAACGGTGATAAACTTCTCACCTCTTTGAGTTTCGCGATACTGGGCTGCATAGCCAATCTCAGTTTCCTCCTCGACATTCTCTCTGGTTCATTTGGATCATTCAATTTGTCCTGAGATAACGCACATTAGCATAAAATCAACAAGGTGAACAACATACATTGATTTCTTCTTGCAAAATTTTTTCGGACATAGATGCGCGATTATACTCTTCGTCTTTCTTGTGCACCACTCCAGATGAAACAGCGCCATCAAGCGGTTCCCCATTTTCATCAGTGGGCTCTATCTGAAAATGATGGCATTATATACTGCTAATGCCAAATGTAAGGATGATACCCTCACCTTGAATGCACTGAAGATAGCAGAGAAATACTGGTAATTCGGATCTTTCTCGTCCAATTTCGGCGTTTCCCCAACGTAGTCAATTTCTACTTCAAGATCCTCAGTCTAAAAGTGATAGAAATGATATTCCAAGAAGAATGAAGAACACCTTGATAGATTCCACAGAACATTCCGCTAAGTACAATAGCAAACAACTAAACAAACCGCATTTTTTGGCCCTTGTACTTCCCCATCCTGCTCATCTGGCTTTTCTTCTTTAGGAGTTACTGTATCAACAGCATCACCTTCTTCATGAGCAGCTTTTCTATGACGCTTTGAAAGCTTCTTCTTTTTATTCTTCAAACGACGTCGTTCTAATTCCTGAAGATCATCATAGAATGCAAGATGCAAGCAAAATGAAACACTATTGAAGAAAGACCATCATTGTTCATTACCTGTTGTTCCTTCTTTGTCAAGGTTCTGGTTGGGCCAATTTCCTCGTCCGAATCGAAGCCTTCATCAGGCGAGACCATAACTACTACAAATGGAAAATATGATACGTATCACATACTCAAAGTTAAGACAAACATTGCAAGAAGCTAAAAGTTTGACAATCAAATTGACGGACGGCTGATCGGCGCGGCAGCGAAACGCGCTGCGAAAGCAGCTGGGATTGGAGCGCGTCAAACGCAGCGCTGGGCCTGCATCTTCTTGGCCGGTTGTCGATGAGTGTCCAATAAAAAATCAATCTAACAAATTTTAAAGGAAATTTAGGGAGTTCAGTCGCTAAATTTAAACGGAATTACTGAAAAACACAGAGTTTATGGTTACGGTGCCGCAGCAAGGTGTCCATTTCTTTCACTTAATCCAATGACGACCAAACGTTGAGCAAAGCAAAGCAGATGTTTGAGTTAAAAAAGGATTTAACCTGTTTCAATGTTCTCTGGAGTGCCGCAGGGTGGCGTTCTATCACCAGTTTTATTCAATATCTATACCTTTGAACTTCCTGAGATTGTATCTAACCTTGGAGTCTCATGTTGTGCCTTTGCAGACGATTTCAAACTTTATACTACGATATCTGAGCGTAATGACAAGGTCAAATTACAAGAGGCTCTAAATGCTGTGGTAATTTGGTCAAAAGAGTGGGATTTGCCCATCTCTCTAGAGAAAACCAAGGTCCTACACTTGGGATCTGGTAGCGCCGAATATGCTTATTATATGGATGGTAACAAGATTGGTTATGAAGATGAGGTGACTGACCTTGGTTTTTTGCTGGATAACAAGCTTACTTTTGGCCAGCATTGTGAGAAAATTGCTAGCATTGGAACCGCCGCTGTCCATAATCTGTTCAGGGCAATGACAACGAATGATGTTGAAATCCTACTTCAAGCTTACAAGGTCTATATAAGACCCTTGATTGAGTATGGCACCGTGATTTTCAATCCTTGCACGAGCAAAAATGCTTACGTATTGGAGAAAGTACAAAACAGCTTCACTAGGAAATTGATGATACGCAGTAGAGGTTTTGTGTATAATCAGTTACCGGGTTTCCAACTTCGAAATAAAGAGTTGGGGTTGGAAGACTTAGCCACCAGGAGAAGAAAGTTTGATCTCATCATGGCCCATAAAATTTTGTTTGGGGGATGTCAGCTAAATGCGGCTGATTTCTTTGATCGGAGGACATCTGTAACTAGGGGCGATCCGTGCAAGCTTATGATTAACAGAACGAGAAGGAATGTGAGGAAAAATTTTTTCATATCTAGAGTCTCTCGCGACCTTGATAAACTTATCAGAATGCAAGTCCTTCCAGTTAGACTTTCTCATTTTAAAACCATCCTTAAGAGCTATCTACTTTCTTCATCTGAATATTCATAATCACTACTGTTCTTTTCTTTGCACGTGTTCACGATTGTTTTTATTGTTCTGTCGTGCCCTTTGGCATGCACTGTTGTTCAGCGTTATAATTTTCACATAGGGTTCCCTATGTAAATGAAAAAAAATTTAGTAAATGACGAAAGTTGACGCTCCAAGTTAAGAAAGTCTGAGCTAAAATATTTTCCAAGAACCTTCCGCGGACTGCGGCCATGTTCGCAATAGCCAAAGCAGAGCATAGTTTCTATTTTTGTTTGCCAAAAATGTACGAAGGAAGCGTAACATTCGCCACATCAAGAGAAAAGTGTAGATTCCAAATTTTCTGGAAGAGAAACTCAACGATTGACATGGACTCTTCAGTGAGTTCTGTATTATCCCACAGCTGTTGAAGTCTGAGCAACTGACTTGAATAAGTGTTAATGTGGTAATTTTAGATACTAGAGAAGTCATGTACAGAAAATCTATTCCATCGACGTTTTGAGGAGTTTCAGATGATAAAGTGGTGCAGATTTCTCGACTTTTAACTGCCAAAGCTCCTTCTATTTACTGCAGTGGGGTAAAATACGACAGTGACAGCGAGATGGATTTGAAAAATTGTGTTTTTAAAATCAACACTTTCAAATAATTCTATTTCTGCTGGATCAAGCAAGATTTTTTTCTATCTCGGAAGCACTACGATACCTGCAAAAGAAGAGCACAAGAGCGATATTTGGAGTGCTTCACAATTTCGCAAAAACTCTTTATTTCTACATATAAGGCTCCCACATAACGATAGGCAGTCATTTTTGGTAGATCCCATTAAGTAGATTATTCCAGAGATCATCAAAGCTCAAATACTCTGTGTAATGCTTTTGAAGAAATTTACGAGCACTTCAAGAAAAAATTACTTTATAAGCTCCTCCGCGCACACAATTGAGACTTTCTAAGATTTGTTTTTTTTTTCCACTTGCCACGGTCAATATTGAATACATCATGCCGCTAAGCGTAGATTTTTACGTTTGTAGAATATCTAAGAAATCTTCAATCTTTGAAGACAAATTTTGGAACTAAGATATTCTATGTTGGAGTGGAGGTGTGCTTTAGCTTACAGTCTAACTAACAAATCCCACTCCAAATAAAACATTTTGCATAGGTCATTTTAGGGGTGTAAAACCCTACATAATATAACTGACATAATATAACTTTTGGCGGTTTGTGCTTGATATTTATGCGGGGGGGGGGGGAGTAACTCAAAATTAGTAAGCATTGGAAAGAGCAAGAAATGAACTTTTGGATGTTGTTTGTTATACTGCAGCAAGTGCAGAACTCATAGAAAATGGCTGCATTGAACACAGGGCAAGCAAAATTAGATAGGACTTTCAGAAACTGTATTTCATGAAAGGACTCGGAATAACCTGTAGATAAATTAGTCAAAACTTGGATTTTTGATTGGTTCCGCAAACAGTAATATATGGTTGCCATATAGCGGTCAAAAGCTTTTGGAAAGCTGAGGTGTTTAAAGGCAGCGTACACCCAAAATTTGAGTTACCGAATTTCCTAGATCTTTCTACAATGTGTATATACTGGGCCCAGAAGAAGACCAACTGCGTTGGTCCGGTCTCCCAATGTTGCTTCTGAGCGGAGAAAACCCCCCTCAATTTTCTTTCAATCCGCCCCTTTTCTTTCGCTCCGCCTCCTCCGGACGAATCCATAACAGCGTAAGCTGCAATTGCAGTTGCAGTTGCTGTTGCAACATCTGTTGCATTTGTTTTGGGTGTACGCTGCCTTTAAGATGACAATGCTTGAACCCTAACTGCATAAGTCGGGCTGGCGAAAAAGTCCGCTTTGACAGTGTTGTGAAATAAAATGGAGTGAATGAAATGGATGAAAGATGGAACAAAAAAGTCTTCCGTTGAACAAAACTCTTATAGAACAGTGTACAGGAAGTCCTATTTTCTTGCAGTAAAATGCATACTTTTACAGCAAAAAATTTAGTTTTTTTTTCTAAAAAAATTTTAGGTCAATGATATGTCAGGTGCCAACCGCGAAGATGAATTCGATGTCAGAATTTCTGTTCTGAAGTTAAAAGCTGTGCAGAAAATTATCATCAGAACCACTCTTAATTTTATCTCCATGGTGTGTGGCTTCATCTTTCCTCCTTTTTGAATATCTAAGCAGCTTTGACTATCAGTGCATCCTGACTGATACCAAGAAAATAATCTTCTTCAAGTAGTTAATGAAATTCGGTTCAGGCCTATTCAGTATTCCATTATAGAAAGTTCCGTTTCAAGCCTACTTATAGATTGAAGAATTCGTTTGTAAGAGATTTTCACAAGCCATTATGCCGTCATTTCTGCGCAGGCTGAATCCTCAAGTTTACAAAAGATTTTACAAAATAAAATTCTTCCTTTGATGAGAAGTGTACCATAGAAGTTTTACGCTTGGTTTTTGATTTCTTTTGATTGATGAGATTATCTGAACCTATATCGAAATTCTCTAGTTATCAGTGGCGTACCCAGGATTTCGGCTCGGGGGGGGGGGGGGGCGACAAAAATTTTTTTCTAAAGAAGGTGCGTGGCGTTAGCCACGCACTCCGAAAAAATTTTTGGGGTGCTTCTCAAAATTTTTCCGGGTCCCCGACCCCTAAAATCTGGAAAAAGTGGGCGTGGTGCCACGCCCCCGAAAAAATTTTTTTATAAGGCTAAAATGAATTTTTAAAAAATTTTAAAAATTATTTTAATTATTTACAAGTAAAAACAAGTCACTTGCACATTTTTATAACCCATGTAAGTAACATTCAAAAATTTCGCGACCCGTTCTCGGGGGGGGGGGAGGGGCGCGCGCCCCCCCCCCCCCCCCCCCCCCCCCCCTCGGTACGCCACTGCTAGTTATATAGAGTACGACGCCCAGTTGGCTGCCACTATTGATCAGCAGGGGAAGAGAAAACAACTCCTGAACGCATAACACACTGTTCACTGCCCGTTCCTCACAAATGTATATATTATACTTTTGAAGGAAATTCGTGTATTTGGATAGCTGAATCATTTCAGTGACATCAGATAAAATCGGTTCATCCTCTACGTGGCATTCTGCGCCTTCCGAATGGAAAACTTCCAGAAATAATCACATGCCAATTCATCTCTATGCTTAGTCAGAAAGCTGCTCTTTTGCAAATGTACCTCTCCCGTAGTTACGGAATTACTGAATTGACCGCGCAAAATTTCGCCTCTATCTCGAAGGGAGATGTTTTTCACATTCGGAGGTTCAGTGCAAGCGCTTTCGATGTGTTTTGGTACTCTAGTTATCGATTCAAATGTTAGGTCGAAGCTATATGTTTCAAGTTCTCTCTCTTACTCGTTTCCGCTTTACTTTTCTCTCTTATTCGTTCTTCCTCTTTGCTCTTACCGCGCAAAAATGACTCTCAGTAAGTGTTTTGTGGTATCTTGAAGGTTGAAATCGTTTTCTCAGATAGTGCCTTTCGATTTGAATTTGCCTCTTTATCACTTCTTCCTTCGATTTCCATAACTTCATGAACTTTCTGCGTTTCAGATCTATCGATGTTCCGACGTATACTTAGCCGAGCCGTTGCTGCTTCGGCGGGAATGCAGCTGTGTGCAGCCGCAACGGCACTTAGCGACAAAGAGCTGGCTAAGAAACCGGAGTGGTAAGAAGGTCATTTACTCATACAACAACGGTTTACTTGTACTTATATTTTTGTTTCATATATTTCGTTTCAAATTCCTGTATTTTTTCATATTTTATGCTTGTATAGAATATGTCGTCTTGTCTTCAAAAAAGACGCGGATTTTTCCAGCTGTTACTAAGAAAAGCATAGAAAAAGTATCTCGTCAAGACAACACCTTCCAAATTTAATAAACAAGTGGCTGGAACCGGACATCTAGTACTATCACCTTTATATTTTGCGACTTCCCTGCAGTCTTGAGCAACTTATTGAAGAAATGGCTACCATAGGCATTTTTGAGATGTTTGAGGTGTTACTTAGTTTGAAATTCTCTCAACTTTATGTCGTGATTTGATTTACAATTGTTATTAGTAATTTATTGAAGGCGTTTCGATTTTGAAAAATAATTATCGTTCCTTCCGATCCATTATGTGCCCGAGCTTTTGCTTCATCTCCCAGTTGTAATTTCAGTTTGTCTGAATGCCAATGTTGATGACAGCCGTAGACAGTCGTGTATAAGTATCGGTCTTTCAATGGGGAATGGGGAGAAAATCTCTATCACCCTAATATCGAGTACAAAACGCACCTTTTTCATTTTTCAAGCAAGCAGCTCGGCCGCACCATTGTGCTATGCGAAATGGTCGCTCTCCCATACAATTTTTCTAGGTAAGGAACAGCACGTAGAGAGTTCTTTGGCCACAAATCCTCTTAGTATGTGGAGTTGGTCGAGTTAAAAAAACTGGTGGGCTATAAATATTATTTCCAAGGTTTCTAAATTTGTTGATTGCACAAAATTCATTTTCTTTATTTTTGGAGTCCTATGTGCAGATTTGGCAGTAGTGACTTCTAGAATCCGCGTAGCTAGAAAAAAATCTAGAATAAAAATTGAAAAAAAAATCTAGAATCCGTATCTTCCAGTTGTTACCGGTAAAGAATCGCGTTACCCACAAATATGTCAACTCTACTCATTCTTTTCAATTACACCATTCGAATAGCTTTTTTGATTCTGTTTTAGCAGAACTATGGTATTCCTTGTGAGTGCCCTAATTTGAGGTACCGCAAAGACGTCTATGCTCTCCAACAATCTCTGGAAAGTCTAGGTCGTCACGGTTACAACACTTCTCCTTCAGTTGTCGAGCAAGCATATGAAACGCTCAAGAAGTAAGCTACAAGCTGTCTCAGATTTTTCATGCTATCAACTTTAACGTTTGCTTACTGAGCATTTAACGCCGATAATCATGTTATCACTGATATCTTCATCTATCCACCGATAGGTATGAAGATCTCAAAAGTGCTGAAGTACAATGGCGGTTGGCTCGAGCACTTGTCGAGAAAGCTTTCTGGATGAAGGAGAATAAGGACAAGCTCCCTGTTCTGCATGAGGTAAATTTTCATAGTGATTAGCAAAATAATATTGAATGCTGGCCTTTCTTCATAATCTTACACTTTTCTGCCTTTTTTCCTATGGAATTGGATTATTGTTCTCATTAAGTGTACGGTTCTCTTCACTAATTAATCCTTTTTTAGGCAAAGGAGTTGGCAAAGCAGGCCATCAGTCTCGGGGGAGATAGCTGTGCTGGAGCACACAAATGGTAAATTTTGTTTCACTGCTCTTTTCAGAATCTTTTAGTATATTAACGTTCCCGCCAAATAATGCGGAAGTGATCCATAAGATTACTATCTCCATCATGTTTAGGTACGCCATCATTTTGCATAGACTGGGAGAACTCGATAAGAAAGCAAACTATTACGACGAGATGGTAGAACACTTAGAGAAGGCAGTCAAACTCGACGAAGACGACGTCTACTCCGTGCACCTTCTAGGTCTGATCATTTTCAATATGCAGAAAGTAAATTTCGTCGGTGTATCCGCTGTCGTTCCAGGCGTCGTTCATTACAAACACAAAAAGTATGAAGAGGCACTGAGGCAGTTTGAGAAAGCAGAGCACGTCAGGGTAGGTGCTGCTGTTTGGCTAACAATTTTTTAGTGAATTTTGTAAATTTGGCGAACATCTTCTGAGCTTTATTCTAGATTTTGAAATTTTATTTCAATTACGTACATCGATTTTGTACCGACATGATTTTGCGAATTATTTCTCATCTATGAAGCAAGCATTCGGTTAATTTCATAACAATTTCACGAGTTGTGCCTTTCAAAATAATCGGGTTTGCTTTCGAACTACATTATTGGATGAAGTCTGAAAGCGCGCCTCTTGACAATATGGTTATTGCCAGTCTGGCAGCATACGTCTCAGTTGTGTTTGGCTCTGATCTGACCAGGGGAGGACCCGAAGTCGAAATTGGCTTTCTACATGAAATTAGTACCAGTTTGAAGAACTCTAAACATTGATTCCAAAGATGTCTTTGATTTTTGTCAAGGGGCCTTCGGACGCTGAGTTATGAGTTCTAACGAAAAGTGATAGTAAAATTAAGTCAATTGTTACGGTTTTTCCAGCGCTCTAAAAAGTGTTTGAGTACGAGTATGTTTAACAAAAAAATTTCATACATAGAGTGATCTGTTATCCAGCGCGGGGCCATTTGCGCAGTCTTGGCGAATTTGTTCCAGTTGCGCCTTCAATTTTTCAGTTTAAAAAACGTCATAACTCTGCTGGAGAAACGCTTGGCACTCAACAAAACAGTCTCGGAATCAGCTTTGATGCTCGATAATTGGTATGTATTTCATATAGAAAGCCGATTTCGACTTCGGGTCCATCCCTGGCGAGTTTCTCAATCTTGAGCAAGTATCTGAACGAATCGGTATAATATTATGAAGACATTAGGCGAAGCCTTGCAATAGTTTCAGCATTCACATTAATTTGTTCACTTCGTCTTAGAAACTGTGAAAATTACCACACATCTTCAGTTAACCTACCCCTCTAACGGAGCTTTTTATGGCACAATGAAAATTTTTGCCTTTTCAGTGACTTACGGAAATCCACATCCCTCATGTTCATATTTTAGGAGAAATTTTCGCCATGCAATCTATACTACTATGGGGCTGCTTTGTTAGCTCTCGGAAGAAAAGAAGAAGCGATCAAGCATTTCATTCAAGCATACAAGGCACATGCTCATAACGAGCATGAAGTGAAGGTGGGTGTTATTTACGTCGTACACTTGTGGTTGAGACCAATACTATTTTTCGAAGTGTAGTGAGTGGAGTTTATAGGAACTGTAGCGAAGTTATAAAATTTTTCTCTTGGTGTAATTGCTCCGTGAATCTGGTTTCTGTACGTCTTTCGTCGGAGGTGTTTTGCCTTTTTCTTTGCATCAGCATTCTTGATTCATCAACAAGTTTTATTCGATATCCTATTAGTGGGGACATGTTTTCCTTTTATCGAACACTGGTCAAAGAAAGATTTTGCCTCGTATAATCTGATTTTTCAGGCACGAGCAGATGCGAGGACAGCGCTTTTGCACTTGAATGTGGACCAAGCTCTGTACGAGATTCATCCATATTAACAGCACACTCATTGAGTTTGTGCTAGGCAGCTGACTCAGAGCATTTGCTTACAGTTTTGTAAAGTTGTAGATTCCAATAGACGAGTAATATAATTAAAAGTTTTATTAAATGCTTGTTACATCTGACTCGGCAGGCTTATCAGAGGCATTGATTTGCAGCAGTGAAATAATGAAATAATCCTATATTATAATACAATCGAATCATCTAGAAAGGCAGTGGAGTAGAAGTGTTTCCAATGCTACACGTTTCAATCACAGAGTATAATTTTGTTGCGTAGAACGCTACAAATAAAATGCCTAGTAGAGGTGAGATAAATTTAAGAGCATAAGGGAAAGACTAGAAGATCGCAGGAGATAGAGGAGATGCAAATGATAGTGAATTACTAGATAGGCTATAACGACGGGCTACAACTACATAAATGTTCTCAAATGTCAATAATTTGATTTTTGCCCGAATAACCGGAAAGCATCGAACCAGTCACCGTGAGTGATAGAAAAGAGGTGTGGATGTTGATTGATCACGAGAACAAGGATTGTCTGAAATTGAATTTTTTCCAAGGGTCTAAGTTCTCCTTTCTACATCACCGGTATGAAAAGCGAGATTTTCTTCCCATTTTCCAATCAAAATCTCCACTGAAAATTTTACAATTTATTTCGTTTGACCCACCTGATCGTCGTCAACTTTGTTTCGATATGTGAGCTCGATGAATTTACGGTGGACAAGTGTGTGTAGTTGTCCGATAGACCTGAATCAATAGCTGATTGTATAAATTCGGTATCTTATACAGTCGATGTCAATTACGTACTCCCTTTCGCATGGGACCTACGCATGCGCAACGCAAGGGTCCTGCGCGCGGACCGCCAATCGATAAGGCCAATTTGAATGCCCGAGCCATACGCGCGCGAACGTGGCGCGAAACTCACTGCGCTTACGGAAAAGGGAGCACGTGATTAACACGAACTGTATATAAAGCTGAATGTCTGTTTGTATGACTGTATGTCTGTCTGTCTGTCTGTATGTACGTATGTTCCGAATAGAAAATTTTATTTCTTAACCGATCCGGACCAAACTTGGCACACATAGGGGCCGGGCGGGTGTCATAGGCTACTTTTCGTTATAGATCGATATCGATTTTATCGATTTTTTTGCAAAATTTGAGCTACGGGGCTGGGAGTTGGCACAGGGGGTAATCGAGCATGCTGATTACGAATATAATAATGACGGAGCCGGGTAAGTCAACTAGTCTCTGATATATCATCTCGGAAGTTATACAGATATTTTGAGAAATTGATGTGATATATCTTTTCTAAATAATTAAATTGTAGTAAAATTTGAAACTCCTGTTGAATAGCTTATTGGGGTCATCTCAACTCGGACGCATCTTCACAGTTCCTGAAAACTTAGCAGAAAAATCACTTCAAGAAGAGCCCCTGCTGAAGATACTGCATAAGATTTTAGATTGATTGAACATATATGTTGGTCTATAAGTCTGCATCAGATAATAAAAAATTGATCTGCCTATGTTTGCAATTTATATGAATTTGCAGTACAAAAAGTCTGTCTTACCGCACATATTGAAGATTTTATTTGTATACTAGCTGGCTTGCCCGGCTCCGCCGGGCCTGCCAGCTAGACCCGTGTACGTATGTTCCGAATAGAAATTTTTATTTCTGAACCGATTGGGACCGAACTTTGCACACATACACTTCGGGGCAGGGAGCGTGTCATAGCCCACTTTTCGTTATCGATCGATGTCGATTTTACCGATTTTTTGCAAAATTTGAGCTAGGGGGCTAGGATTTTGCACAGGGGGGTAATCGAGCATGCTGATCACCCCCTTCGGGGTGATCAGCATGCTCGATTACCCCCCTCTGCCAAATCCCAGCCCTCTAGCTCGAATTTTGCAAAAAATCAATAAAATCGATATCGATCGATAACGAAAAGTGGCCTATGACACGCTCCCTGCCCCGAAGTATATGCGTGCCAAGTTTGGTCCCGATCGGTTCAGAAATAAAAATTTCTATTCCGCACATACGTACAGACATACATACATACATACAGACAGACAGACAGACAGACATTCAGCTTTATATATAAGATACACGGTGCTCAAAAGTATGTATGACTATTTGATCGTAAATAACTCCCTGCCTTGATGCCTTTCGGCGATCTTTAGTACCATTCTGTAGAGCGACGTCCAACTTAGATTTGCAGTATGAAGAGAATCACCCACCATTGTTCATTACTGTGGATTACGGTAGGAACTTCAAGAAGGGTTTTGAGATTTGAGGGCCCTAATTCTTCTCAGAAAGCTAACCAAACAAACTGGAAATTCTTACACTAGGCTTATTAAAGTCGCTGAAACCAAATATAAACTTTGGATTTTACTGTAGTGCTTTCTATAACTTATGCCAGGCAGTGGCGTACCGGGGGGGGGAGGGGGCGGGGGGGGGGGGGCGCGCCCCCCCCCGAGAATGGGTCGCGAAATTTTTGAAAGTTACTTATATGGGTTATAAAAATGTGCAAGTGACTTGTTTATTTTTGTAAATAATTAAAATAATTTTTAAAAATTTTTACAAATTCAAGTTAGCCTTGTAAAAAATTTTTTTTCGGGGGCGTGGCTGACGCCACCCCTTTTTCCAGATTTTAGGGGTCGGGGACCCGCAATTTTGAGATGCACCCCCAAAATTTTTTCGGAGTGCGTGGCTAAAGCCACGCACCTTTTTTAGAAAAAAATTTTTGTCGCACCCCCCCCCCCTAGCCGAAATCCTGGGTACGCCACTGATGCCAGGTAATGCACTGTCTTAGCTGTCTTCAAAATGCTTCCTGAGACTCTGACTACATTATCTGGAATGCTTTACTAACTCTCAAAAAGTAGCGTAAGAGATCAGCGCGCATAAAATCCACCACTTTCCAGAAATCTCCGAAGTTTTTCAAACACGATTAGTCCACAATCTTCATTGCAAAAGTTCCTACCGTAATCTGCAGTAATGAAGAGTGATCGGTGGTTTGCTCCTTACTGTAAATCTAAGTCAAAGCCAGCTTTACAAAATAGTGTTACGTATTGAGGCGTGTGAGCAGGCAAAAGACTTCTTGGGAAGAGAAACATCGCGACGATCAAACAGTGTATACACACTTTCGGGACACCCTTTCTATCGAAATAAATCTAGAGCAAAAAATCAATCAAAAACGCTCAAAGATTGTAAATACGTAAAACTCTCCGATCAGCTTGAATATCGCTGTCAAAAAAGCAATTTCATTGAACCTTCCAGTATTTGTAGCGACAAGAGTTCAAAAAAAAATCGTTTTCTATCAGCTTTCGCCGTAATGTGCCCCCGACACTAATATGTGCCTTCAACATGATTTAAAAACGCATGCTTTTTTCTCTCTAATTTATATCCATACAAATAAAGTCATCAAATCGGAGTGAATGAGGATTTCACACAATTTTTGGGGCGTTATTTATGAGCTAATCCGAAGAAAAAGCTCAAGGAGAGGAATTCGCAGCTTTTTCATTATGCTAATCGTGGTCATCCGGTATCCCGTCTGTGTTTTTAAGCAAAGTGCAAAACTTGTTATTTTTCCAGGAAAAATGGGAGCTTTTGGTCCTTTCACTTTCAATAAAAGCTATATTCAGGATCAAGTAACCGAAAAAAAGTAGCTAACGCTTTTTGCTTCATCCGGCACACAAAATTATCAAGATTGCCTAATACTCACCGTTTGTCTCCTGCTACGAATCCACCCGAAATCACCGACCAATTCCGTCGATACAAGCTGTCAATTGTGTAACCAGTGACGGGGTCGTGCACGGGTGTCAGCTAAATCACTAATTTTCATTATAATCTGAAGCTAGACAGCATTTTCTCACTTTTATCAATGAGATCTTATTTCTTGGGAAGTGTGGTTTCCATTTGTTATCATATGGAAAAACACTTTGATTACCGTGTCCATAGCCGGCATCAATCCACACGAAAAACTCCGTGGAAAAGGGGTCCTCTAACTGAAAATATTCCAAAATTGACATTTTTCTATAAGTTACTAACTTGGTGCTGTTTACCGTTGTGTTGTAGAGGAAGTAAGTTTTAGAGTTAACGAGCACGTTATACTCTCCGCTTCTTGCTTCTGGATGGTCTCTCATTGCTGGATCCCAGATGGATCGCCAGAGGCGCTCGTCTCGTCGTTCACCTTCGATGATTCTGTTGGCAGCATCGAGATGACGAGCAAGTGGAAGATCTTGCAGGGTGATCTTGTGGATCTGAACATACCAGTACGATTTGTAATCACCAACTTATTCTCTCAGGGACCGAACAGGTTCAGAAACCACGAAATGGGTTGAAAACTTCTTTAAAAATTTCAAGAAGGTGAAGGGGAGGAGTTTGCCTAAAAAGGCCTCTCATGCCATTGTCCAGGAGAAAAATACTTTCTGAATGTGGATCATGAGGGTAGTTAGCCCAGCTCTGATAACGTCCTCTTGCGCTGATTTCAATAGCCAGAAAAGTGCGCGCTTATATAATTTTTAACACTGCGCATCAGTGCCAACCCCGCCCATTCGGCGACTTTCTTGCAAGGAAGACTCGCTTCCGGTCTGCGTCTCTAACTCCTTCGCCGTGGTGAATACTCGTCCACGTGGATGGGATCATTTTTGATATTATTTATGTCACAGAACGAAATAAATTAGTCAGACTCTATTTCTCAAAGTCACCTTTGTTCGATGCATTTGACCCATGTTTTTCCTGTACTTGTGGATAAAATCGTAGCTTGAGGTATCCGTAAATATCACCTAAAATCTGCAAATCGTTGACTCCATAAGATATAATCAATAAAAAAAACTGGCCATGTTATTCTGGAGAGACAATAGGTTCTCCATAAATATGTGATATTGTTCCAGTGGTCGACGATACCTGTCCCAATCACCTCGTCCGATATCCATCAAGGCAGTGACAATAGTAAAGTCGTCCCTAAAATAGCAGCTTAACCTCTGCAGTTCAGTTTCCAAAAATCAGTGATTCCAGGTGTAGTAGACTCCTTCCTCACTGTTTTTGGTAAAAATACTTATTTTTTAGTTCCCAACGGTTGTTAGACCGAATCATACTTACCCTTCTGCAGGTGGCGTTGTCGTAGTGGGTGGCCTGGTATGTGGTGGACGATGTGTGTTAAAAACCCGTGGAGGACTGGACCCTGAGGTCTTGTAAGTGATGATTTTGTCATAACGTGCGGTGGTAGTCGCTGGTGGACGCTGAATTTCAATCCGAGGTCGAACTGTGGTAGGTACAGGCACCTGCAAGGAAAGAGAATGCAAATATTTGACAATTTATCGTTAAGACTTTTTTCGCTTCAAACTATCCTTTTTCAAACCTCGGAGAAAGGGGCACTCACATGTATCCGGTTTGTAGTGACATGGATCCGCGTTGTTGTCGTGGATTTGGTTGTAGAAGGCGCTGTAGATGAGGTTGTGGTAGTTGGAGTTGTAGTCTGAATCTGTAATCATTTACTTTAGTCAAGATACTCATGAAATATTATTTTGTTTTTTTTGGCCCTCTATTTTCTGGCATTCGAGATATAACCTAGATGAAAATAGGAACCAAAGTCATTTGTTCCGAGAGTACTGGTGTTTTTCAATTATTTGTGATTTCATTGTATAAGTTCAGATTTGAAAATAATGTCAGGTCAGCAGATCCTTGACTTTGACCTTCCCAATTTCTGGTTTGTCCGAAATTTGGACATCTTGAGTTTTCGCATTTCAGAATATTCGACTCTTTCAAATCGACGCGGGCAAGATCTTGCGCGCTTTCGAAACTGACTTTTCTTGTTCTGCAGCTGGACATTAAAAAACAAATATTAGTGTTCTCAATGGTTTGCTGTCTTATCATCTGGAAGTAGTTTCAAACAAAAATGCTGATGGTCAACATGAAAATGCAAGCAGCAATTTCTTAGAAATAGTCAATTTTTAGGGAAAACGTCAATAATAGCAGCTGGTAGCTTTGAAAAGCTAGTAACCGATGGAATTTACTTCTTTTCAAAAACTCCCTAAAATGCGGTTTTGAGTTGGCGAGAGGCGGAGATCACACATTTACCTCTCCCGAGAAGGCGAGGAGCAAGGGAGGAGGAGGAGGGGGGGTACTTTTTCAATGCAGCAAAATTATAAAATTTCCATTTATTCAAAAGTGCCTTTCAGCAGCAGTGGTAATGCTTGGTTTACATTTAGAAGGGTTTTCGTGCTATTTGTGTGCCCTAACCCTCCACTTTGAGAAAAAGGCTGGCATCGCAACAGCTGCTCTTTTATCCCTACCCTTTTCCAGAGATATTGCCTTATAATCGTCTCATGTCATTCTATGGCGCAAATTCTACCGTACTGTAGTGACAAAAGAAACAAAATCTCATGTGCTGGCTGCGCTCAATTGTGAAATGCAAATTTAGAGTGGACTTACTATATGTGGATGAAGTTTATGTACATTTATGTGGTGGTGTCGATGATGATGTGGAACCCGTGGGCGTTCATGTGTTTGCGGTCGATACCACTGTACAGATGTCTGCTCAATTCCGTTCGTGGTCCTGCCACTGGTGCTGTCCTGAGCAGTTGTCTCTGGAGGTAGTGTCGGTGTGGAGGTCGTTGTCCTCGATAGTGTGATCCTTGAAGGAGTTGGTCGCGTTAGCGGCGTTCGGGTTGGAACAGGCCAGAGCTTTCTTGATAAAGGTGCTCGTGTTGGTTGTCTGCTGGGCAGTGTAATCCGTGAGGGGACGATTCTCGCCCTTGTTCTGGAGTGGACTCTTTTTGGAATGCTTGCACCGGTTGTTGAAATCGGCTTAGGTGATGGACTCGCGGCCAAGGCATCTGAAGTATTTGCAGTTAGAAACCGTGAAGAAAAGTAAAATTTATCGAATTTTAATTTTGTTAAAATCAAATTGAAGCGCTTAGGATTAGATTTTGTGGACGCTGGTCTCTGGTTCATCAGGGTGGGGTTACGCTAATAAGCCATAAAAGTGGTTTATCTACGTTAAAAGGTTGAGCGCTCAGTTTTTTTTGAAATTGATTCGACTTTCCAAATAAATCCATTGCTATTATGATATATTTGTGAACTCCACTGCAAAATAAATTTACAACAATATCTTCAGAATCCTCAAATCCTAAAGTTGCATTCATTCTAATTGAATTAACAGCCAATATCGTGTATAAACTCAACTTCAAAATCTTGCTTTCTTATCGAACTTGAATAGCCTATACAGAAATTAGTCGTTCCACAAGTTCGTAGCGTTTTTATTTTCATTGTAGTTCTCTGGTAAAGCGGTTGGTTTATGTCAAAGTGTCTGCACTATCCGAAAGAGCCAATTCTGCTCTACAAACTGCGTTTTATTTTCAGAATAAACCTGATTACCTTTGTTTTGTGACTGCTCAAAGAAGGTTTTTTGCGCAGCAAAAATGGCGTTTTCGACATCTGCATCCCCATATACGGATATCACCAGAGGCAATTTTTCATTTGAAATTGTTATGTGTGATGAGGAATGACTGTTTACCGGACTATGAGGTACATAGAAGTGAATTCTTGTCAAGGAAGACGTTACAAGGAAGTATAGAGCGCACTTCTACCGTACGTGTAAATGTTTTGCGTTTGGCGAGAATGAGGGAGATTTCTAAGTAAGTTAAAATTTTGAGGGAAGCTTAAAATCGCTGGACAGCGCTTGCATTCGAACTTTTGCGCAACTTAGACAAAACTGTTATCGCTTAGAGCCTGACAGCAAGATGGGAACATTCTGTTGCGAAACAACGCGTAGAAGTCAGGCTTTAGCAGTAGAAGACAGCAACCATTGAGACCTCGTTCAAACAGTTCTTAGCATATTGGCTAGACACATTGTGTCAGCACATCAGCCTTTGCTGTTAGCTACTCCGACTACACATACAGGGAAATACTTGTGGGAGGACGGAATGCGAAAAGTACAGGTGTCGAAATCGCCATTTTCTGCCACTCAAAGGACTTTGCTTTGAGAAGTTATAAATCAAAGATCATGAGGATTGCTCCGAAAGTAAAAGGCGGGCTCTGTAGGCCAAATTTGGTCCTCGTAAACAAACTGCTTCACCAGAAAACGACGACAAAAATAAAACGACGAGCCTATGGAACAACATAATACTATCGTAATCATACCGCGCCATCTTCGTAATTTCCGCCGAATCCTTCTGCAAACTTCTTTCCACTCTGCAGGTGTGATAACTTGGGAGGGCTTCTTCTTACGAAAGGGTCTACCTCTACGATTTTTGCTAGCCTTACTGGGAATCAATAGGAATAAGAGAATACAAGAAATTAGAAGTGCTGTTAGCAGTTTCGAATTCGTGTGCATCCCATCACATTCGCTGTTTTTCGAGGTGGCGATTTGGAAAGAAGAAGCAGATCGAATAAGTTATCGGCTTGATATACTGTTGATTTATATACTAGAGTTCGGCTTAGACGAATTCTAGCATACTTATATAAACAAGCTAGTGGAAATTTCGTCTTATTTTATTTAAGCCGACCAGTGCAAACATCGTCTTAGTCCAAAAAGCAGAATAATCCGAACTTGGAAAAACCACATAAGCTTCAGCGGAGTTCTAGAATTTCCTCTCCCTCTTGAAAAGCAGTTTCACACCCAATCCTAATAAGTTGTTCTACTAGAAAAATGTAGCTATTTCGAGGATAATCTATGCTTGGAAAAATCTATAAGCTTTAAGCACCTTGCCTTACGGCAGTCCTATGTTGGTTTAACTTTATGCCGAAATCATTCCGGATATTCCTTCCCCCTTTGCATCCAACTTCATGCCTAAATCTAATAATTTATATTATTAGAAAAAATTTTGCTAATTTGAGCTCAATGAAGCAGAATTTTCTGGTCTTATACTTTGAACTCTGAACCTCAAAGAATAATAGACTCAGTAAATTCTGTAAATAATGGATTGTACGCATAATCGCTTCGACTAATCTTTGATGCTCCTTATCTGTGTGCCTTGCATTTGCATTCGACTTGTGCTTTGTAAACAATGAAAGTTCCAGAGAACACTTACAGGACTTTTCGGAGTTTCAATGAATATCAAAAGGCCACACACGCTGAATGCAGTAAATGTCTGGACTACACTTTACTACCCTTTTTCAGTTTTAGTGCTTGGCGAGGACAGAAATAAGAGAGGGACAGAGAAGGAGTCGAGATGATGAAAAAGTTCAAAGTTTGTAAGTAACTCGCATTTATTAGTTTGTCAGTATACAAAGTTCACAAATTTTGTAAAATTAGCCGTACACCAAATTTTGAAACCCGATTAAGCCCTCCACTTTTAACGAATCACCTATTGCGGTTCAAGAATTATCACCGGAAGTGAATCTTAAGCTTTCTTTCATTTGAGGATCAATCCGAAAATCAGTAAATTTGATTCTCAGATCATACAAGCTTTTGAAGGAAAAAATTCATATCATATTATTCTATTTTCGGTTACTAACAACGCTAAAAAGCCAAACAAAACTTATTTTCAGTTTTGCAACTTACTCTTTTTATGCCAAAATACTTTCAATAATTTTGGAAATTTTTGTCCATCTTTCAAAATTGTTTCAACTACGTGCGTGTAAGTATGGAATACATCATATTTAGACGAAAAAAAACCATGAAACAAAAAATGACTCTTCCCTTATTTTTGACAAACTTTTTGTAGTTCTTTTTCGCAAGACCTATGGAGTAAGTAATGGCTTTGTGATAAATATACTTTTGGAGACATGGATATTTTTTCGACAAAATTTTTGAAAAACGAAGATTGCAATAAGTTTCAAAGCATTTCCAAAAGTCATTCGAAGGCATGGCCCATGCCAGACCGTTTACTTGAAAGGGTTTCTCCCTTCTCTGAAGTTTTTTTGTTGCCTTCACTATCAAGAGGGTCGAATTTTTGTCTCTTACGATACATGTTGGGCTCTAAAACCTTATGCTGCAGAAGGGCCTGTAATGAACAAATTGCTGCATAAAACAATAAATAATAACCTTTAATTTTTTCAATTTGTGATCCAAACCCCAAAATTATAATCGAAATAGGAAATGTTGAAACTCAAAATATATGTACAATATTAATATATTTCTTTTCATGACCTTATGTGTAAGTGCTTGGGCTTCGGTGTGTTTATTAAAGAAAATGTGGAAAAGCAGGTGGTACCATTTTCTTTGATAAAACTTGTCAACGGCTTCTTTTTAGTTTAGTGCTCACACATCAATCTTTAGTGATCCACTGAGTGCATCAAACAAACATTGTTTGAGCACAAAGAACAAACAACTCACCCTGATGCTCGCTCAGCTCCTCCTCCACAAGAATATGTTTCGGATGCTGTGTGTTTCGAAGAAATCGCAGAATTTCAATGAATCCATAAATATTTAGGATTAGAAATATCAAAGCGATGCCAACGATGAGCGCGACATTGAGATGTCTCATAATCAGTGCCTAGTGCTGATTGTCGGCCATATCTGGGACTCGAATCCTAAAAAACTTTTTATGGGATGGGAGGAGGACGGGAAGCACGTGTGTTGAAGATTCAACGAGAACACATTGCGAGGCATTCGTCATATTTGATGCATGTTCAGCGAATGTTTCGGTAACATTGAACGCTTTTGCAAGAAACAAACATCAAATAGAAGAGAATCAGAGAGAAATGAGAAAAAGATGATCTTTCAGTCTTTCACGTCATTTAAATGAGCATCTGCAGCAAAAGAATATGAAGAGAACTCTCTAGCAAAGACAAGTCATCGTTGTAAGGTAGTTTGTTATTTTATAATATATTTTCCACATTTATGAGAAATCTAGGTGTTGAAAAACACTGTAAGTCTGTCAGAAACAATATTTCCTCTAGCATTTTATCGTAGTAAAGTCAACTTTGGATCAAAACGCTTTGACGAGATTTCTCAAAGATAGGTTGATCCTCGGGGGATGGAATCCCAGGCCTTGAAGGGTCCAATAGCTTTAGTGAAAGATATCTGCGTTTGCGTTACCCTTATATAATTATCGTACGTTCGTGTGAACTTTATGTAGAACGAGCAATAAAGAAGTCCCTTCGATATCCATAAACGATAACAAAGAGCTCCATTCAGGAGAAAAATAAGTTGTAAGAAAAGCATACTTGAAAATATCGAGTAAATGAATCATTCCAAGCAGTACACTCTTCTTTCAAAAATATTTATGGCCAATTTATTGAGCCAAAAATCTTGGAATCATGGCAGCAGATAACTATCAGCTGCATAAGAAAAGTCATAAAATATGCACTTGAGTGACAGCATGCATGGAGGTCTTGGGTTCCAGTAACGGAATAGATGCAGAATGTAGTAAACAGACTATACCATCATGGGATAAACAGGTTCTACGTCAGCTCAACAACTTTTCACGGAAGTTTTATGGCCATGCCAATCCTCAAAATGATCGCATACATGTGACCAAGATAATCGGTACAGGAAACGAAGGTTCAAAGATTTTTTATTTCAAAAAATAGTTTTCTATTCAAGTTTTAGCTATAGCCGAAAAAAGTTCCATTTTTTCGCTGTAGCTCGAAGTTTCTGGAATTTCGATATCTGAAGAGTTTGTCGAGAGTGAAAATTCATAAAAATTTTCTTTCAAAAGAGCAAATTTCAGGCTGTCTACGAGAGTCCTGATATGTGGGAAGGTGCTGATAAGCGAAGATGCTGGTGGACACCAAGATAGCAATGACCCCAGAATGTTGATGGGATTTCTTGTTATATTGTCCTCAGTAGTTTCTCTCAGCGAGAAGTAAGAAACAACTACTATATCAATCTAAACGCTTTTCCTACTAGGCCGATAAAAGCTATAAAATGCAATCACAAAATGAAATGAAATTGCTTTCTGGGAAGAGTAATCTGCTGGATGGTAAAAGAATTCATGGTCTCTCGGAGGCAAAGAAAGGTGGTCGGAACTGTTTATGTGAGTAATAAAATGGGGCAAACTTTCTTTCAATTCAAATGATTATAGTAAAAACTTTATTATTGGGGGTAAAAGTCTCTATTCTTTGTAGTGCCGCATCCAATTTTTCGAATCTTGCTCGCTCTATATTCACACCTTCCATCATCATAAGATAGTAACTCTAGAAACCCCTAAGCAAGATTACTTTCATTGTAAGCATTTATATGTTGTTCATATAATATTAGAAATATTAATTGAACTTAAGGAAAAAACAAATGCTTTTTGATTTTTGAAGACGCTACAGGGAATTTTGTTTGCTTGTAGTAAGGACTGCAGATAACTATAAGTTTTGAAATGCGAGTTCAATATGATTCAACCTTTCATTAGTTTCTTTCAAAACCAAGCTGTATTGTCTTCTTTCGTACCACCTTCTACCAGTCGATGGCTCATAAGTCAGAATCGGAGTGCGAAATCAAATTCAAATGTCAATGAGGCTATTACAGGTGCCTTTGTTGGCTAAAAAACGGTAAGGTGTAACCAGTGTAAATACAAGACGTCTTTGCTTTTGCAACAGATTCGCAAAGCTAGATGACGGATAATTAGGACCAGAAAATATTGCAGTGTGAAATATTCCTATGAATAATGGCTGAACTATGAATGGTTCAAATTTTTCTTGACGCTCTTATGACGCGGGAATGCAGCTGGTCGTTTGGACTCTTTGGTTTTGACCGCTTTGTATGCTACGCACTGCAAGCTTCCAATTTTTTTTTAATGTTCGGTGTAGCTGAGCTTGCAAAGTTATGAAAACAAAAGATTGCAGTAAAAAACGCATGCTGAAAAAAAGGGCTTGTTTTTCAGCATTTCTTGGGGCAAAGCCATTTCTAAAACGAGGTGTGAGCTTTTATTTCCTCGAAAGTTTAAGTTTTGGTGAAGCTGCGGCTGCGAGATAACTAAGAGTGGTTGAAAACAAAACTGATTGCCTTCAAAAGAAAGCATGCTGAAAAACAACTAATTCTTGGTGTTTCTCGGGACAAACTCATTTCTATAAATATCGTTAAATTGATTTTGTGGGTCTCGATCAATAATGCCGCTTGTTCAAATTCACGAAAATTCTCTTAGAAGATTTTCAGGCTACTTAAGCGCATAACTCGATTCCAGCTTTAGACTTCAGAAAAACGTGAGAGGTTGGATCAGATGATAGTAAAGGTAAATAAGTAAAAAATTCTCTAAAAGTGGAAAAAAAGAAGCCTTGTCTCATAGCCTCTAAACTAGTCCTGCACGATTGACTTTGCAAAGTAAGCGGGGTAAAAAATGCACTTTTTTAAATGAAAACTAGTCTCTGACAATGATTTATGTTTCCGCACAGAAACTGGACACAGTTTCCACATTTTCAAGAATTTATAGAAGACAGCAGATATGCAGGGTGTCCATAAAGTATGTATACACAGTTTGATCGTTAATATCTTTCTTCCCAACAAGTCTTTTGCCTTGCTTCAGGTACCGTTTTGTAGAGCTGGCTTCAACTTAGATTTGTAGTATGGAGCGAATCACCGATCGCTCTTCATTACTCTAGGATTACGGTAGAAACTTGAAACATATGGTGTCAATGTGGAAAAAGCTGCCATTTCAAAATTTTTCAAAAAATCTGAAAACTTGTGTAATAGGGTTTTTATGGACGCTGACAACAGTCAACGATTCACGAGATCGCAAAGCTTTATAAACGGTGTAACCGGACTTTTTAGGAACATTGAAAAAATGGCCGCTATCTCTTACCCAACATAACTCTCCAATGAAGCATCATAATAAGTTGGAAATACGGTTAGACCAACCACTCTAATTAGCCTAGTGTAAAAGCTTTCAGGCTGATTTGTTTCCTTTCTGAGGCAAAATATGGCCTTTCATAGCTCAAAACCCTCTTTGAAGTTTCTGTCGTAATCCTACAGTAATGAAGAGAGATGGGTGATTCGTTCTACTGCAAATCTAAGCTGAAGCAGCTCTACAAAACGGTACCTGAAGCAAGGCAAAAGACTTGTTGGAAAAAGGATATTAATGATCAAACGGTGTATACATACTTTACGGACACCCTGTAGAAGGCAGAAAGTGCATCGAGTAGAAAATATAGATTAAAACCTTTATTTCAAAAAAAAATTTAGCCGTCTGTTAAGAAAATCTCTTTTCAGAAGCCACCGCTATAGCAATAGTAGTGAAGATTGTTAGAGGGTATCAAATGCAGAAACGGGTTCGAAGGCTGCGCTTGTGAAAGTTTCAAGCGTAAGCAAACAACGGTCGAGACAGAAAGCTTGTTTTAATTGAGCGGTCAAACATTTGATGTTTACGAGAGTGAAATTTGATCTGCAGTGCAGTGCTCTGAACCCAAGATCACGACATCCGTGGAGAGGGTACATAATCGGATTTAGAACATAGAGTGACCACTGTATGCAGAGATTTAACTTTTTACTTGAAAAGTTCAAATGTTCTGCGAGAGAGCACTCACGTCGCAAAAATACAAAAATGCATGTGATCCGCTTCTGTAAAAAAAATCCTCTGAAGTGTCCAAAAAGAGACCTAAAGCCACTCCTTTCATTGGGACTTGATGAGTGCAGGTAAATAAAAACACAAATTTAGAAAGTCTCTCATTCTTTCCTGTCTCCCTCTTCATGTTTGGCGACAAGACAAGGGTAAGGCGACTCCGAAGGATCCTTGCTTTCCCATAATTGGGCTTGCATCCTCTGAGTCAACAGGTATACCTAAAGACATCTTGCCATGTCAGAGTCCTAGTAAAGAGAGCGAATGACAGAACAGTAATGCTCAAAATTTATACATTGAGCTTTGGTGAAAAGGGGTCATACTTTTGTACTATTTTGATTACACAGTCATGTCTTGCTCAGTGTATGTATTCTGTTGTCTGCGGTGATACGGTTTCGGCACAGATCTATCCAATAACTGGCGAAAAAGCGAAAGAAAAGCGATTTTAAGGATTCCGATGACTCAAAAATACAGTTATGGACTTAGCTAGATTCAAACTGGGACAACAACAGTCAAACCCTTTCTTCACAGTCGTGCTCAAAAATACAAAAATTCGAAAGAGATTTGCAGAACTAATTGCGGATGATGAGTAGAGACAACAAATCAAGTTCTTGCCCCGCATCAGCATCTTGATGTAAAAGTAGTTGATGATATGTGTGCTTTAACATTACTTCACGACACACCATGTGGGGGTTTGGCTTTGTGGATTTGTTGGGCACAGTGTTATAGTCGTATCTTCGATTGCACCGTTTTTTAAGCTAATGAGGTTTTCCTTTCTTCTAAGTGCATCATAAGCTACCAAATATTTTCTGTCTCCTTTGCTCAGTTGTATTTGGGTATTTGCAGAACTCTGAAGTAAAAGGCGGATCGTACATTATGACAGGAAGGCATACGTCTTCCGCAATGTGCTTAATGTGTGTATTCTATCTTTGGATAATCAAGTGCACACTGACAACAGAGCAGGAGTGAAAAGAGTTTGTAGATGGATGCAGATTGCTTTTTAGTTGCTAAAGGTAGAGGAGAGTAAGAATGCTTAACTACTGACTAT